ACATAAATATATAACTATGTATGTATTATTTTATTTTAAATGTATAATATATATAAAACAAGAAGCCCTTCTATTACATTTCTTGTTTAAAATTACATATAACTTTTATGCAAAAAGTATGCATATAAAAAATTTCAAGAAAAATAGAAATATCAATGATGGATTATAACTTCTTGGTCCATTTAAGTTTTCTTTCGCTTATCTATAGTTTTTCATAATTGGAGGTAAGAAAGTTAAAATTAAAATTATTTCTACCTAACACTCTGCAGCCTACTGACCCACTTGATCTACAAAAGTGAAGGAGACTCCCAATAAAATTAATTTTTTAAAAAACCCAATAAAATTAATTTTTAAAAAAAGTGAAGGAGGCTCTAAGAAGTCTTAGCCAATCTGGAAACCTGAAAGACACACGGCACCTACTTGATCTCCGACTGTCCACATGGCTTCTTCCTGGACAGGCTGAGCAGATCCTTGCCATATTTCTCTTCGATCGATGCCCTGAGGGGAACAGAAGAGAGGGCCATGGGTCTTACTCATAGCTGACCCTCAGAAACACATCAAGCACTATCCTTGAAGGCAAAGCTGCCCTTTACAGTAGTAGTTCAGGCACAATGTCATTCTCTAAAATGCAAAACTCCTGTTTTAAAATGAGGAAGAATTACAAAAAGAATAGTGGCTGTGGTATTCTCCAGATAAAAGTCCCAACCATGGACATCACAACAAAATTGCGCTTTTGTTATTGTTGAGATGGGGTCTCAATATGTTGTACAGGCTGGCCTCAAACTCCTGGGCTGAAGTGATCTTTCCACCTGTGCTTTCTGAGTGGCTGGGACTACAGGCACCTGACTGGAGCATTTTTTTTTTTTAAGTGGAGAAAGAGGTTCATCTATCAAATGCTGCACCTTGGGGCCCACCCCTCTCGCCTTATCTAAGTAGGCCCTTTACCATTCTGCAGAGTTCTTCACTCACAATCACTTCAAATGCACAACTACTCTGTACCAAAGAAAAGGGAATTTCAGGATATAAACTCCGCTGCCAACATGTCTCACAAAAACAGCTGCTTGTTCCTCGGTGTCACAGTGTCTGTCTAAAACACTAAATTCCCTTCTCCCTTTCCCCCTCTTCCCATTGCTGTCTCTCACCATCTTCACTTTTTGTCCCAGCCTTCTCCAACTCATAGTATTTAAGCTCATCTAACCCACTTTCTTTCAGATTTTCCAAAATTATATGAGTAATAAATTAATATAGTCTCACAGCAAAAGATTCAAACAACATAAAGCATACTATCAGTATGTACAGGTCCACCATGTTCAAAATATGTAGGCTGCCACAGAGTCCCTGATTTGTTGCCAGTTTTTCATTACCACCAAAAAAGAAAGGAAGAAAAGAAAACCACTAACTGAATATCCTTGAACATATATCCATGGGCATTCTAATAATGTGTAAAAGTTCTGAGAAACCAGTTTTACTAGATACGCATTTTAAATTTTGAAAAAGTGTACCAAATTACCCACCAAAGACCCTGTTTCAATGTATGTCCACCAAAAGCTCCCATTCCCGGGAACCCTCACCCACACTGGATTGTTTTCTTTCTTTCTTTCTTTCTTTCTTTCCTTCTTTCTTTCTTTCTTTTTCTTTCTTTCTTTTCTGTCTTTCTTTCTTTCTCTTTCGTGTGTGTGAGTAGACAGGATCTTGCTTCTTGCTATGTAACTCAGGCTGGCCTTAAACTTGCAGTGATCCTCCTACCCCAGCTTCCCAAATGCTGGAATTACAGGCGTGTGCCCCCACACTACATATTAACATTTTTTCTATTGCTACCAGTCTGGGGAGGAAGGTTAAAAAAGTAGGATCTGGGGCCGGGGATTTAGCTCAGTGGTTCTGGCGCCTGCCTCACAAGCACAAGGTCCTGAGTTTGATGCCCGGTACCAAAAAAAAAAAAAATAGGATCTCCCATTTTAATTTGCATTTCGTTGATTTTTAGTATAGTTGTACATCATTTCATGCGCTTACTGGACATTTGTATTTCTTATTCAATAACTTATCATCCTGTTTTTAACTACATATTTTGCCTTTTTCTATTACTTGGTAGAAGTTTTATATACTATGAACATAATACTTTATATTCAACTACATCTTATATATCTTTATATACTATGTGTATAATACTTATTCTTACATATGTTACAAAGTTTCTCCAGTTCTGTCACTTGTTTTTCCTAAATAATAACTTATTTATTAAAATATTATTTATTATTTTTTAAAAATAACCGAAAAGAAGCTGGGTGTCATGGTAGCACATGCCTGTAATTCCAGCACTTGGGAGGCTAAGGCAGAAAGGCTGCAAGTTCAAGTCCCATTTAGGCAAACTAGCAACACCCTGTCTCAAAGAAAAGAAAAAGAAAGAGAAAAAGAAAAGCACAAATGAAATAGGAACAAACTGTCTAAAATTCCAACAACTGGGCCAGGGATTTAGCTCAGTGGCACTGCGCCTGCCTCACAAGTGCAAGGTCCTGAGTTTGATCCCTGGTACCAAATAAGAAAAAAAAAAGAATACAAAATTCCACCAACTAAAACTTATTAGTTTTAACATTTGGTGATTACTGTAATGGATATTTCTTTATGGCGGTATACAGCCGAACAGATAGATACAAGAAATAATTTTAAAATAATAAAACCATACTCTGCATACTTTTGAGCACTAGCGTATTAAGCCTGATTTCATTTGAGTTTCACAGGAGAAATAGAAAGTAAAATGAAACTAAAAGAATTTGAATTTAAATAATTATTTGTTTGCTACAGAAAAAATTACTTCTTAAGAAGTCCTTCTGAGATGAAAAGAAAAAGTTCATGAACATAACTAAAATGATTTAGATATTAAAACATTTTTCTCTTCTTTTTTGGCTTTCCTCCTCTTTTGACTGAGGGGTACTTGCTTGGCTGTATTTATCTAATGTCTTAATTAAGACATTATGCAATGAACATTAAATTTTTTACATGCAAACAGATGTTAAAGCCAATTTCATTTTTTAAAAATATCTAATGTGGGGGCTGGGGATTTAGCTCAGTGGTTCCAGCGCCTGCCTTGAAAGCACAAGGACCCGAGTTCAATCCCTGGTACCAAAACAAAAAAACCCAAAAAACCAAACCAAACCAAACAAAAAAATCTAATGTACATATATTTTATCCTTTCTGAATTACATCCATTTATATTTCCTGAGAATCCATTGTGGTTTCCAGAAGACATTACTCACATTAGGGCATCCGTGGGCACCATGTTCCTCATAGAAAGCCCTAGAATGTGGTAACCAGTGATTTCCAGTAAGCACAATGGTGTGCTTTTTGGAGAAAAAAAGGGCACTTTAGTGAAGTGAAACTGCAGTCTCACTCTCCGGAAGCCAGAGGAGCCCCAGTGGGATGGACAGGGTGGTCCCCAGTAAACAGGGAGCACCCACTCCTAGGGCCTGGGCCAAGGAAGGAATCACCAGGATTTTGCAGAAATCACCCTTGTATAGGAAGCCTTTACCTAGATCACCTTCCTACCATCCATCCTAATATTCCTTCCTTCCTTTTTTTTCAACAAACATTTTGAATAGTTTATTGAACTATTATTTAAATATCAATAATTACCACAAATATCACCATACTGCAATGAAAAATGTTGATTAATCCTAATAGTTGCTTTAGTGCAGCTAGTCTGAGAGCCATCATAGCATATAGATATTACATATGTAACATGTTCATTTGGAGATTTAGTAATATAATTTTTATTCATATATTTGCAATGCATGATAATTACATTTATCTTGGGGAAGTGGTACATATACATATCGAATTTTGATTATTTTTATTCCCTTGTCCCCTGCGCCCTGCTTTCCCTTCTTCTTGAGATCTCCACCCAACATTCCTTCTCGTCTTCTCATAGATTTGTCATTTCTTAAGCATTCATGTTGAGCCAAGCACCGTGTTAGGAGCTAAGAACACAGACATGACTAAAAATATGAGACCTGCCTGTTGGAGCTCATGTAAACCAATAACTTTCATTTATTACCAAGTAATAAGAGCTACGTAAAAATGTAAAAAAAACTGTATGAGACACAGAGGAGGGGATATTCCTCTTAGCACTGAGCTGGCTACACATTCTTCCAAAGCCTTCCTTGAAAACCCCAGCTCAGCCAGGCAGTTGGCACACACCTGTAATCCCAGTACTCAGGAGGCTGAGACAGGAGGACCTCTGTGAGCTCAAGGCCAGACTGGATTATATAGTAACTTAGAGGCTAGCCTGGACCACACAGTGAAACCCTGTCAAAGAAAAAATGGGGGGGGGGCGTCCAACTCACTTTGACCTCACTCCTATCAGAATTTCCAGACCAGTAATAATCCGTGTAACAGCTCCCTTTAGCAACCCATGGGATCAGGAGGCTGAGGCAGGAGGACTGCTGCAAGTTTGAGGCCAGTCTGGACTACATGGTGAGTTCAAGGACAGCCTTTTCCCTTTCCTTCAACCCTACTCCAAGCACCCTATTTAAGCCACCGATTTCTGCTCCACAAAATAGCCACTGTGCCTGACACCTGCGGTTATGTCACACGTTTCAGGGTTTCATGGTTCTTTTTGCCCAACTCTTGTCTTAGAAAAGCTGTAGTCTAAAGAAGGAAGGCTGAATAGACCAAAGAAATCCCACGACATCTGCAAGCCAGGACTGAGAGGGTAGGAAAGGCAAGAAAAAGGAAGAAAGAAAACAAGGTGCATAGGAGGAAAAAGGAAAAGGAAGAGGCCTAGGTTGCATTTTAAGGCTTTCTTGCTGGAGGCTAGAGAAGACGATGAGTTCTCGTGAGATCTTGAGACTCCAAAATTAAGGCTAAGATATTAAGTGAGACGAGGGAAAGTGAAGCTCAAACAACATAGGACATCTTTTTGACTCTTAAGCCTTCCAGGTAGGATGACCAGGGGTCGACCCGACTAGGAAATCCCAGAGGTTAGGAGCCAGAGTGTAGGAGCCCAGCAGAAGTCTTAGCAGCAGAGGAGTGCTGCTGTGTCGGGGCCGCTCGCCTGCGTGCTGACGTAGCAGCCTTCCGAGTGGTGTATTATCTGCTAGGTGCCCGCGCAGTGGGCCCTTGGAGCTGCAGTTCTCCCGTAAGAGGGCTTTGAGGTGAATCAGTCACCCTCACGGAGAAGCAGAAGACTCAAGAGTTCTAGAGATTCTTCAGGGATGAGTCATGTGGCGGTGGAAAATGTGCTCAAGCTGTACCAGCCTTTTGCGGGCCTAATCCTGAACTCTTCAGATAAGCAGACTGAAGGAGGTACAACCAGCAAAGGGCGTTATATTCCTCCTCATTTAAGGAACAGAGAAACTGCAAAAAGGTACTAGGACCAAGACTGTTCAGGGTGGAGTTCTAGTAAAGATAAGGGTGGATACAGCAGTTTAGGATCTCTAATGATTCAAGAGGGAAGTCTAGTTTCTTTGTGATTGTGGGAATGGATCAAGGGGAAGATTTGATGA